GTTCATGATAAACTTTTCTTGAGGTTAAGTTTGACCTCAGGGAAGGAAAGCAGTTGCAGGAATCACAGGTTGACATACAACGCGACGAAGAAGGACCAATCAATAGCAACAGACCATGCCATGATGACCAACTGATGCTTTTCATCCAAGGATGCATGACGTATGAAAAAAAGGATGCCATGTCTGAGTTACATTACACTGGGAGATTACAGAGAGTTAGCATTATAGTAAATTGAGGTTACTAGCTGGTGATACAGATACGATCAGACTACGTCGACGACGCAGGTGCAATGTTCGCCAGGTGTTGTATGCAGGCGTGCCGCACTCACTTGATGAGGAGCAGGTGTGCTGCAATATATGTGCCGCGAACGATGTGCCGCGTTATCGGGCAGAAGTTCATGAAAGGTAATTACCGATATTGCTAGTTATCCTCATTTCTACACATGCGTATCTCTGGAATCTTCCGTGTGTACCAACGATCGGGGTTTTCCGCAACCAACGTTCAGACCGAAGATCAGCAATCAGCTAGGAGGTGGTGACCTGTACGCTCAAGAAGTATGTTTTTAATATCATGTATAATCAGTGAAACACTTTCAGGAAAGTGTCCATTCTCAGTCAGCAGTATCTAACAATTCACTTAATTGTGAATTGGTGACTCCTCAGTTCAGATCAAATCCATTATTCAGTATTAAAGTACTGAATTCTCAATCCATGTAAACAGTAAGTATAAGCTTTATGTTAAGCTTGTACATCCAATTTTAGTATTTCCAAGGACGAAAATATTTTAAGGGGGGTGGATTGTAACGCCCCGTATTTTATTAATAAAGGAATTACTAGCTATCGAGTAAAAAGCTAGCCTTTATTAATAAATAATCATGTTCATGTTCAAGTTCAGGTTAATCAGCCAGTTATATTCTAAGTTCGACTATTAGTCGATAAATTATTCTGTTTAATTATTTAAGTAACCGAATAAGTTTCCAGATTTAATTCCGATTCGTCTATTTAATGAGTTTGGAATTAATTATACAATCAGTAATATCCCGTCAGATTAGTAATATAAATCATGTTTTAGTTCTGATATAATTGTTGAATATTATTTTCCGGAATTAATTATTTTTCAGTCGAGATTACCCGAAATTATTTTCGACGTCCAGTTTACGTTCGGAATAATTTCAGATGTTAAGTATCATGTTTAGTAATTAATTAAGTATATATATGATATTTAATTAATTATTAATCATATTAATTAGTTAAGGTCGTGAGCAATTTTTATTAGAAGTCATGAAATTCTCCCCACTTAAAGTGGTAAAACCGTGAGCAAGTTTAACTAAGAGCATGATCATGCTTATGGCCGTGAGTGTGGTCTCCAAAATTCTCATGTGAAATTCATTATTACTATTAGGGACACATGGAAGCCTATGGTTTATTTGAAGGTGACTAAGCAAATAAATTTACACCTCAAGCCTTAGGTGCTTAGCAAGTGGTGCAAGATCATTGGACAAGGCAAATATCACCCTTCTTTTTAATTTTTGTACGGCCATTTATGCATGATGGGGGAGAAAATTTTACTTTACACATATTCTATCACTCAGCAAGTTAAGAGTAAGATTTCCTTATAATTAACACAAGTTTAGTGAGATTAAGAGAGTTTTAAGCCATTTGTACGCACGACAAGCACACACGCACGCGAAG